ATTGGCCGGCACTGCTGGGGGCGTGGCCCGTCCGTGGGGGCGTGGCCGGTACTGCGCTCACCTTCCAGATACTCGCCTCCTTGCCGTATACCACGGCCATGTTGTTGGCCTTGCTGCCTTTGATGAGCTGCTTCTCCGTCTCGTTGAGTTCCTCGGACACGAAGCCCATGAAAGAGTTGTCCGGGGTGTGAGCTGCAGCCCGACCACGCGGAAGGGAAGGGGTTACCAAACAGCCGAGGGAGCACCCTGTCTCCCTGTCCCGCAGGTCCCCGTTTGGCAGGGTGGGGACGGTGTGGGAGGTGAGGGTCAGGTGGGAAGAGTGTCCCGCAATGCTCCCGCCTGTCACAGCTCAGAGCAGGAAATCCAAAGGGTCGTCCAGCCCTGCACTGTTTTCAAGTGAGGAAAGTGAGGCGCAGGGCCCACGTGCCCAGACTGTCTGCTGTCCTCTCAGCCCCTCGGCCCAGAGCTAAGGGTCCATCTCTCTTTGCACACCTCGTGTGTGATACCGCCTGCATCATCCCAGTTAGGATTGTCTCCATCTCCCCCATCCCTGCCACCTGGTCCAGGCCACCCTTGTCTCTTGCCTGGAACTGACAGCCTCCTGCGGGGTCTGCGGCTCTCTTAGCATGGACTTTCCTCCAGGGGTTCTATCAGGGTCCTCCTCTGCATAAGACCCACAGGCCAAAGTCCTCCCAGCAATCTCCAGGCTGGGGACACCTCTTGGTCCCTGCCCCCACACCTGGGGCACTCCCTCTCCAGACAGTGGGTTCTCCAGTGGCCTCGCAGCCCATCCCCCATGGCTTTATGCCCTGTCACAACACTCCTCCACCAAAGTATTGCATCTTGATTACTGTCGGAATATAAGCCCCATGAGGGCTGCAGCTATTCCCTCACCTCTGTGTCCCTAGCACCTGGCACAGGGCCCGGCTGGGTGAAGGACAGAGTGGAGGACACATCTGCACATTCACACCCCCAGCATCTCCTCTGCTGTGCCCTCTGCCTGGACTGCCCGTCTCTCATTTCTTGAGAAATAAAATCCTATCCTGCATCAGGACCCCATTCACCTGTTACCTCCTCCCAGAAGCCCCTTTGGGGTCCACAGCCCTCCCATAGGGCCCACCCATGGGCCCTATGTGGCTGGGTCTCTGTTAAGGCACAGTCTACACTGGGACTTCCTCGTCAGTCCCAGGACCCCACGTCCCAGGGTCAGGAGAGCCATTTGCTCCCCTTCCACAGCCACACCGGGAGTGCCATGCCATCAGCTCTGTCTGTCCTGGAGGATGAGGGTCACACACCTGCAAGGCACAAGGCCTTGAATGAATGCCTGCTGAATCCAATTAAGTGCACTCTGTCCTCTCAGGTGGAGGCTGCTCTGGCAAGGGAGGTTGGGGGCAACTGCATATCCTCCATCTCCCAGAATGGCCTGGATCCCAAACACCCTATTTCTCCATTTAAGATGCACATTTTCCACATTTGAGCAGTTCTCAAATTGGGACGTCAGTGCTGATCAAACATGTAGGCTGAGTGTGGCATTTCCATCTGCCCCCTCGAGGCCACAAAAAGCCGTGATCAATAACTGTGCGCCTCAGGGAGAGACGATGGTCTCCTGTGGAGGTGCTCCCAAAGCCCCCAGAGTCCTGCAAACCCCACACTATACGGGTGGGCCTCCCAGCCCATCTCTCGTCCAGACCTGCAGGAGCACAGCTCAGGCCCCAGGGCCTGGAGTTCTCCCTGTGAGTGGCCAGGGCAAGGACAGCTCTGCTGCCCAACCCAGGGAAGGGCCCCAGGGGGCAGGCAGCCTTCCCCGCCGCCTCCAGCTGGGGCTGCCCCCAGGCCACTCTCCCTCTGCAGTTCCCCCTGTTCTCCATGTCTGAAAAACCCGTAGCCCTCCCTTCCACCGACTCCACCAGAAGGGACAGGTTCCAAACGCAATTAGCCAAAGGAGCGGGGCACGGAAGGTGGGGGGAGGCAGCCCCCTCCCACAAGGTGTGCTTCCTGCCTTGTGAATCCTAACTGGCAAGCTTCTCTCCCTTTCCTGCCCCTTCTTTCTTCAATTTAATCAGCTAACATTCTCCGAGGACCTGCGTGGGCTCCAGAGATTAACATAAATCAGATAGTGGCCCTTGTTCAGTGGTTCCTGACCTACGGGGAAATCAGTGCCCACCACCTCACTGAGGCGCTCCACACAGACTCGCCCACAGTGAAGAGGCAGCGCTTTCTGCCTGGAACAGGAGAGCAGGGCGTAGGGAGGGTGGCAGTCTGGAGAAGAGACTGGGACTTGGGGTTTTGCAAGATGAGTAGGAGTTTGTCAGGTCTGAAACGCACACCCTGCAGGATCTACCTGGGACAAGTCTTAGTTTCTCAGGGTAAGTCACCGCAGGGGACTCTTAACCCTTCTGCTTCCCCGTCCTCTCCCATCGCCCCTTTGGCCAAATGCCAGGATAACATGCTTATATAAAATCTTTCCCCCTGACATGGCTCTAGCTCAGGAGCCTAGGGTGGTTCCCAAGTGCAAGCTGAAGGCCTTTCGCTAAAAGAAACTGCTCCTCTGTTCCCTGATCCCCCGGGTCATCTCTCCAGCCTCCTATAAGCTTCTTCCTTCCATGTGGGCTCTGACTCTGTAGCTCCTCGACATCCCCAGCCTGGGTCACCCCTTCCCTCCCCAACATTCTCCCTCCTTCCAGAAGTCTGTTCCCTGGGACCCATCCTACATAAATCACAGCGAGAAGCCTCCTGCAACCCGGAGACTGGCAGGGAGGAGGGATACTGGCAGGGAGGAGGGAGTCTGGCTCCCCGAGAGCTGTGTGACCTCATGCAGGCCTTTCGACCTCTCTGGGCCTCAGTTCCCTCACGGGGGACTCAACGGGTTTCAGGCACTTCCCACCCTCCCCCCTCCTGGGAACCAGGCAAGCCATTCCTTGTTTATTCAGAAGTCACATCTTCTGGGATCCGGCCTAGAAAATGGCAGAAAAGCTTCCAAGCACCAAGGAGACACCAGGAACTTGACCGCTAAAGAGAGACCGTACACTTCACTCCCAGCAAGCCCCCTCCCTGCCCCCTCCCTGCCTCCACTGAAACCCAGAGCCCTTGTCCCCAAGACAGGGCTGAGATGTGGGGCCTAGGCTGCCCGCCCAGTACGGCCACCCTGATTAAAGCTCCTCCTGCTTTGCAACAGGACCTTTGGGGCTTGGCTGGGACCCCAGAGTCTTGGTTAACTTGGTCCAGGACTCGGGTACGGCCCTGTGCTTGGGAAAGCTGGCCTGCTCCCTCGCCACCCATCATCATTGTCCAGTCCACTCTCCAAGGGTCCCTGGAAGGCCACCAAACCCCTGGCCCTGCACTGTGTGCGCAGTGCCCTCCTGGCCTTGGGTGGGTCACCCGCATGACTGCTCCCTCCCTGATCCCTGCCCCCAGGGAGGCTCCTCTGCCTCACACACTGACCACCGGGAGCTGGGAGCACGTGTCACCCCACCCCTGCGCCTGTGCCTGGGCAAGGACGAAAGAGAGCCAGCCTCCTCCGCGCCCCCCCACCTCGAGCTCCGCCCCGCCCCCGGCCCCGCCCCCGGCACTCACGGAACATGGTCATGAACTGCTTGGGGTTGAGGTTCCAGTAGCCCCAGTTGGTGCGGTAGCCGTGCAGCGTGGCATACTCCTCGTGGTTGTACGCGGGCTCTGTTCCAAAGGTGTCGATGACCCGGATTCGGCACCTGGCCCCCAGGGATCAGGAACAAGGGTCATGCTTCTCTGTGTGTCCCTGGGCTGGGGCTGCCCCAGCCACGAGCCCTGTAACTGGCCAGTGGCTGGGTCAGGGAAGTGCCAGGAGTGGGAGAGCTTGGCCTCCCTGTGTGACCACAGCAAGTGCCTTAACCTCTCCGTGTCACCTTCCAGTCAAGTGGGATCACAACAGCCCGATCGTCCTGGCCCCCTGGTTCCTAGTTAGTGTCCAGAAACTGTTACGACTGCTGCCCAGGAGCAGCTATTTAGAGGGGGGTCCCTCCCTGCTCTCCCCAGGGGCCCACCTATAACATTTGCACTTTTCTGGCTGGGGGTCCTGTGGGGACCGTGTTGGGGGTCAGTGCCCCAGAGCCTGACTACCTGGGCAGGGGCTGGGTGGTAGGACTGCCTGCCCTCCTCCCTTGCTGCCCTTGGGGGGAAGGCTCCGAGCCCAGGGGGCTTTGCCTCTGTGGGATCAGCCAGCCCCGGGCTCTGAGGCCGCAGAACATCCCTGTCCCCCGCCTGCAAGTGGGCCCTGAGGTAAGGCAGGGCCTCGGCCTCCCAGGACGCTGCCCCGCCCCAGCGACCTTCCAGTAACCCGGAGTCAGGCGCCCAGTGCTGAGGCTGGCAGATCAGGGGCGGAGGAGGGCGGGAGGGGGGCGCTGCGTGCCTAGAGAACGCGCATTAATAATAAAAGCAATAACACTGCCTGTCATTTTTTTTCCTTAATAAAATCATGTGGGATAGGCAGTGGGACTGGAGCAAACGTAATAAATAGCAGGGCTCTCTGTGCTAAATTAAACCCGCATCCCGCTGGCTGCTGGAAGACAGGGAGCGATGGCACGGGCCTTGCTCCCGACCCAGGGGGTGCAGAGAGAGGGGAGCAGTGCGGGAACGTGGCCCACCTGGGGCACAACAGAGGCCACTCCCC